CGACCAATTCTGTAACCAAAAATATTAATAATCATGCCCTCACTTCCTAGGATGGAAAATCAACTTTCTACATCGTCCGGGAAAACATTGGGAACTGCAATTGAAACTTGCAGACAGGTCGGTGGCACTAGATAAGAGTAATTTCACTCTAGTAATAATAAACTAATGTCTACGTATATAATGAATCTATCGCACTTCTGTTCCCGTGGTTCGCTCCGAAAATAGTGCTTGCCCGCAAACGATCCGGGCGAGCGTTTCTACGGGAACGACGGCCGCGTTTGCGGGCCGAAAAGAAAGTTACAAGCGTAATTGTCGGAGCAGAAGTTTATGGTCACGAAAACCACGTTTATGGTTTACCGGGTTTCGCGCGGTCATACGTAAACGGGTCAGCCGTGAATAATCGTTGCCGTTAAAATTCGGTAGAAATTGCGGCCAAGTAACGTGGAACTCGAGTCCATCTCGGAAAAAAAACTTTCATCTTTGGCACGATAATTTGTGGATGCTCTGGTAAAAATATCTAGAACTGTCAGTTCCAATTGAACATAAAACGACGAATCAATAATATAGGATTTAACACAATCGATAGTTTTATGTTTTGAACTGTATAAACTTTCATGCGAAGAAGGTACAATAAAAGCTACCTTTTCATACAATTGAAAAGGGGAGAATTTGACCTTCAAAATCTATTATTATACACGCGTATTTAACCAACGAAATTTACTTAACGAAAAAATAATAATACAGTAATAAAATTATTTAACGAAATAATACAGAAAATGTTCATTCACTGAAGATTGTTCATACGAATGGTTCGCGCGATGAAGTTGCAACCGCAACACGTTAGGCTGCACAGGCAAATATTGTCCTCCTATATCGGAGAACTCTGAATTCCTATCTTTTTTTTACGCGTTAAGCAGTAAAAGAGCAACGCTACGGTTAACAGACAGAAAGACAACCCAGTCTATTTTTTTTTCTACCGCAATAAATTACGTTTAATGATGAAACGGTAGAACGGATTGCGCCGTGAACTCGCGGGACAAAAGAGGGTGCAACAATAACCCTTAAACAACGCCTAACATCCCTTTTCAGCCGGGCCTGACGACCCGAAAGCATTCAGTCGCTCTTTCCATTCATTCGATTACCGTCCATTCAAGCGTTCCGTCCTTCCATTGGCCGTTTCTCGTCACCACCCTTTTCGCAGTCTAACCTAACCCCCGGACCGAGCGAACGGTGGTTGCGGCGAAAGGGGCGAACAACCGCCGCCAGAAAAGAAAATCGTTCGCATGGCACGGACGCTTTTCCGAGGCACTTCGAAATTTCGCTCGTGATGGGAAGTAAAATTGGGGTCCAAATTACTACGGCTAAAATAACGTATTATGAAGGGTTGCAAACGCGACGGCTTTTGCGTTGAAACATCGACGACGTTGCGTTCTCGCCTATATTTTCTGAAATACTCCGAAATTTTCGTTTCGATTTTAATGTATCGAATTTTTTTGCAGGAAAAACAGATTTTGCAAATTAACCCTTTTGTAGATCATATTTTTCTTTTCATTATTTCCAACTACTACTGTTTACGCAACTTTATTATTTCCAACTAATCGAAAATCAATGCGCGTCTTTGTTATGACCACGGCTGGAACTTAGGCAATTTCAATTATTTTTACGTCACGGTTTCATACTCAATCTTAATTAACTTCTCTGCGGATGTTATTTACCTTCTAACCAGTCAAATACATTCTCTTGCAAGCCAAATTCACCCTAACAGTTATTCACTGCGACAATTATTTGTCATTGAATGTTTTTAATTTCAGATCGTTTTATTAGAAGTAAGCGAATTTTATTTGCAAAAGGATGAATTCGGAGTGCAAAACCAGGCCCTACACTTCAATGAATTCGTTTATAGACACTGGAATAATAAAACAGGAATATTCTGATCTGACTTAAACTTTCTTCAAATATTATAACTAATTAAATACATTCTCTTGCAAGCCAAATTCACCCTAACAGTTATTCACTGCGACAATTATTTGTCATTGAATGTTTTTAATTTCAGATCGTTTTATTACAAGTAAGCGAATTTTATTTGCAAAAGGACGAATCCGGAGTGCAAAACCAGGCCCTACGCTTCAATGAATTCGTTTATAGACACTGGAACAATAAAACAGGAATATTCTGATCTGACTTAAACTTTCTTCAAATATTATAACTAATTAAATACATTCTCTTGCAAGCCAAATTCACCCTAACAGTTATTCACTGCGACAATTATTTGTCATTGAATGTTTTTAATTTCAGATCGTTTTATTACAAGTAAGCGAATTTTATTTGCAAAGGGACGAATCCGGAGTGCAAAACCAGGTCCTACGCTTCAATGAATTCGTTTATAGACACTGGAATAATAAAACAGGAATATTCTGATCTGACTTAAACTTTCTTCAAATATTATGAAAAAATGTATTGTTAGAAAAAGGAATTAGGTTTGCACCGCGGTTATAGATCTCGATTTTAATCAATATGATTTTCTCTGTTTCAGTGTTCGCGAAATGGAATCGGAATGAAGCGGATAGCAAGTACGACTCGCCAAAGGATAAACGAGATAGATGAGAAATGATGAAACACAGAAAGAAGGAACAACGAAGGAACCATGAAAGGGAGAATGAGGAGGTGGGCTGAAGAAATGAAAGGAAGCACAGGCAGAGCTGGAGGGAAATGCGAGAACGGGGACAGAGTGAACAGCGAGGAGTAGAGCAAAGTGGAAATAATAGGCAGAATGAATAAAGAAAGGGAGAGAAAGGCGTAAACAGAGGACGGAAAGTCGGTTAGAACGAAGCGAGAAAGAGGCAGAAGAGGGGAAATAGGGAAAGAGCAACGAGGAGGGAACGAAGGAAGCCAGGCCTGGGCTGTACGGTGGGAAAAAGGGTTGGGCGGAGGCAGCATTTGCATTCCAAATAAACGTCGACGGCGGACGCTAAATCGCTCTAATTAGTCGTCCCGCTATGAAAGTACTTTTAAGCGGCGCTTGTTCGGCATCCAGCGGCGCGCGTTCTTAAAGCGGAAAACGAAGAAAAAGACAGCGAGAAAAGTCGATGCCCGGAAGTTAGTATGAGTCGCCGCCGAAGCGAACGTTGACTGGAAAGTGCGTCGATAAAGGATTCGAGGAACGAGACAGCATAAACTTCTTGGTGATTTCATCGCGCCTGGAATATCAGGGGATCAAGGGACGCGCGGCGGCAGGCGTCGAGCTGCAATCTGAATAATAACGAGTTAGCAGGAAACGGTTTCTAATAGTCTATTGACCACTTGTTTCGTTTCCTCTCATTAATCACAGTTACAGTCGACGCAGAACTCGAGAACAAAGTGAAATGCGTCTGTCCCTCGATTTACGCGGCCCTTCTCTATTTCATCTTTTTACGCGGTAAATTATTAAATAATACTGTTTACGAGGTATTTTTTTATACGCGATATCTACTTACGATCCGAATTTACGCATCCGGTAAATCTTTCTAAAGCTCTGTATGTAAAATTTCTGTAAAATTTCTTCTGTAAATATAAACAATTATTACGACTCTTTTATGTAAGCCACTTTTAAGCTTTAACTTAAAATAATAAAAAATATCAAATGAAATGTTAAATTAAATATGATCTAATAATATTAGATCAACATTGCAAAAAATTGACTTACACCACTTTTGCGGTGTATTATACGAAATATATAACTTTTGTTTAAAGTAAAGTTCATTAATCATAGCATGCATCATCGTAATCAATACGTTTTGCCAACGAATTACAAGTTTTTCAATTTCAATGCTGTGGAAATTACGTCTGTTGGTGGTGCACACAGTAATTAATTTATAAAATTGTTATCTCCATTTCTTAACATCTATTTCGGCGAAACAAAGAGCTGATATTACGTCAAACTATTACGGTGTATTGTTTATTTTTACATTCACGTAGGAATCTTTTTCTTTTTCTTTTCATTATTTCCAACTACTGCTATAATTATATATAATAATAATAATTATTATTATTAATTATTATTAATTATAATTATTATTTCCAACTAATCGAAAATCAATGTATGTCTTTGCTATATGACCACGGCTGGAACTTATGCAATTTCAATTATTTTTACGTCACGGTTTCATTAACGTCCTACGCCATCAAAGTAAGATCCATATTTATATTTCGCAATTGATTTCCAATGTTTTGTGTCAACGTGTTGACGCATTCGCTCCTAACTGTTTTAAAATCATTTCTATAAGGTTCACACATCGCCAAAAGTTACATCGTACCGTGTAAACTTATACAATTTCGTAGTTATCTGCAGCAATCGTCCGTAATATTTTGAATTTCATTGAATGCCTTTGAGAGAATATATTCGCGAAGTTATGCTATCGATTTATCATGCTTCCACCACGAATTAATTAAAAACATACCGCTGCGTGTGTAAACATTTTGCGGAGATATGGAAAATTTTTAACCATGCAGATTATTCTAGAAATGAATTTTATATATCGCGGCCGAGCCATAAAGCGTGATGTCGAGTCAGCATGAACGTGGAAGCGGTGAAACAGAATTTCGCGTTCTTATCAATAAAAGAAAATCGCCTAGGAGAGCATGCCCGCATAAAAGGTGTAACAGTTATTGATGTAATAATGTTTCTGAGTTGTTAAAATAAAAATGTTTGCCAGGTTGCTTATATTATATTGTTGATCAAAATAGAATGTTGTTTCTGAAAATTTCAATCACACGTTAGCCGTAGATAAGCGAAACAATTCTTTGCTGCAAACTCTTGCGAACTGGTTGACGGGAACTGGAATTAAATTAGTTTG